CCACAGAGACTCACTGAGACCCAAAGAGACCCACAGAGACCAAAAGAGACCCACAGAGACCCACAGAGACCCACAGAGACCCACAGAGACTCACAGAGACCCACAGAGACTTACAGAGACACACAGAGACTCACAGAGACTCACAGAGACACACAGAGACACACAGAGACTCACAGACACCCACAGAGACTCTCCGAGACTCACAGAGACTCACAGAGACCGACAGAGACTCACAGAGACCCACAGAGACTCACAGAGACTCACAGAGACCCACAGAGACCCACAGAGACCCACAGAGACTGACAGAGACTCACAGAGACCCACAGAGACTCACAGAGACCCACAGAGACTCACAGAGACCCACAGAGACTCACAGAAACTCACAGAGACTCACAGAGACCCACAGAGACCCACAGAGACTCACAGAGACTTACAGAGACACACAGAGACTCACAGAGACCCACAGAGACAAACAGAGACCCACAGAGACACAGAGACTCACAGAGACCCACAGAGACCCACAGAGACCCACAGAGACACAAAGAGACACACAGGGAGTCAGAGACACACAGAGACACACAGAGACCCACAGAGACCCAAAGAGACCCACAGAGACCCACAGAGACCCACAGAGACTCACAGAGACACACAGAAACTCACAGAGACCCACAGAGACCCAAAGAGACACACAGAAACTCACAGAGACCCACAGAGACCCACAGAGACTCACAGAGACCCACAGAGACTCACAGAGACACACAGAGACTCACAGAGACTCACAGAGACACACAGAGACTCACAGAGACTCACAGAGACACACAGAGACACACAGAGACCCACAGAGAAACACAGAGACCCACAGAGACACAAAGAGACACACAGAGAGTCAGAGACACACAGAGACACACAGAGACAGAGACCCATAGAGACTCACAGAGACCCACAGAGACTCACAGAGACAAACAGAGACCCACAGAGACTCACAGAGACACACAGAGACCCACAGAGACACACAGAGACTCACAGAGACAAACAGAGACCCACAGAGACTCACAGAGACACACAGAGACTCACAGAGACTCACAGAGACTCACTGAGACCCACAGAGACTAACAGAGACTCACAGAGACTGACAGAGACTGACAGAGACCCACAGAGACCCACAGAGACAGAGACCCATAGAGACTCACAGAGACCCACAGAGACTCACAGAGACAAACAGAGACCCACAGAGACTCACAGAGACACACAGAGACCCACAGAGACACACAGAGACTCACAGAGACCCACAGAGACCCACAGAGACTCACAGAGACACACAGAGACTCACAGAGACACACTGAGACCCACAGAGACTCACAGAGACTCACAGAAACCCACAGAGACCCACAGAGACTCACAGAGACCCACAGAGACTCACAGAGACTCACAGAGACCCACAGAGAATAACAGAGACTCACAGAGACCCGCAGAGACCCACAGAGACCCACAGAGACTCACAGAGACCCACAGAGACCCACACAGACTCACAGAGACCCACAGAGACTCACAGAGACTCACAGAGACCCACAGATACTCACAGAGACCCGCAGAGACCCGCAGAGACCCACAGAGACTCACTGAGACCCAAAGAGACCCACAGAGACCAAAAGAGACCCACAAAGACCCACAGAGACCCACAGAGACCCACAGAGACTCACAGAGACCCACAGAGACTTACAGAGACACACAGAGACTCACAGAGACTCACAGAGACCCACAGAGACCCACAGAGACTCACAGAGACCCACAGAGACCCACAGAGACTCACAGAGACTCACAGAGACCCACACAGACTCACAGAGACCCACAGAGACTCACAGAGACTCACAGAGACCCACAGATACTCACAGAGACCCGCATAGACCCGCAGAGACCCACAGAGACTCACTGAGACCCAAAGAGACCCACAGAGACCAAAAGAGACCCACAAAGACCCACAGAGACCCACAGAGACCCACAGAGACTGACAGAGACTCACAGAAACCCACAGAGACTCACAGAGACCCACAGAGACTCACAGAGACCCACAGAGACTCACAGAGACTGACAGAGACTCACAGAGACCCACAGAGACTCACAGAGACCCACAGAGACTTACAGAGACACACAGAGACTCACAGAGACCCACAGAGACCCACAGAGACACAAAGAGACACACAGAGAGTCAGAGACACACAGAGACACACAGAGACCCACAGAGACCCAAAGAGACCCACAGAGACCCACAGAGACCCACAGAGACTCACAGAGACACACAGAAACTCACAGAGACCCACAGAGACCCAAAGAGACACACAGACACTCACAGAGACCCACAGAGACCCACAGAGACTCACAGAGACCCACAGAGACTCACAGAGACACACAGAGACAAACAGAGACTCACAGAGACACGCAGAGACTCACAGAGACCCACAGAGACACACAGAGACACACAGAGACCCACAGAGAAACACAGAGACCCACAGAGACACAAAGAGACACACAGAGAGTCAGAGACACACAGAGACACACAGAGACAGAGACCCATAGAGACTCACAGAGACCCACAGAGACTCACAGAGACAAACAGAGACCCACAGAGACTCACAGAGACACACAGAGACCCACAGAGACACACAGAGACTCACAGAGACAAACAGAGACCCACAGAGACTCACAGAGACACACAGAGACTCACAGAGACTCACAGAGACCCACAGAGACCCACAGAGACTAACAGAGACTCACAGAGACTGACAGAGACTGACAGAGACCCACAGAGACCCACAGAGACAGAGACCCATAGAGACTCACAGAGACCCACAGAGACTCACAGAGACAAACAGAGACCCACAGAGACTCACAGAGACACACAGAGACCCACAGAGACCCACAGAGACTCACAGAGACACACAGAGACCCACAGAGACTCACAGAGACACACAGAGACTCACAGAGACTCACTGAGACCCACAGAGACTCACAGAGACTCACAGAGACCCACAGAGACCCACAGAGACTCACAGAGACCCACAGAGACTCACAGAGACTCACAGAGACCCACAGAGACTCACAGAGACTCACAGAGACCCGCAGAGACCCACAGAGACCCACAGAGACTCACAGAGACCCACAGAGACCCACAGAGACTCAAAGAGACTCACAGAGACCCACACAGACTCACAGAGACCCACAGAGACTCACAGAGACCCACAGATACTCACAGAGACCCGCAGAGACCCGCAGAGACCCACAGAGACTCACTGAGACCCAAAGAGACCCACAGAGACCAAAAGAGACCCACAAAGACCCACAGAGACCCACAGAGACCCACAGAGACTCACAGAGACCCACAGAGACTTACAGAGACACACAGAGACTCACAGAGACTCACAGAGACCCACAGAGACCCACAGAGACTCACAGAGACCCACAGAGACCCACAGAGACTCACAGAGACTCACAGAGACCCACACAGACTCACAGAGACCCACAGAGACCCACAGAGACTCACAGAGACCCACAGATACTCACAGAGACCCGCAGAGACCCGCAGAGACCCACAGAGACTCACTGAGACCCAAAGAGACCCACAGAGACCAAAAGAGACCCACAAAGACCCACAGAGACCCACAGAGACCCACAGAGACTGACAGAGACTCACAGAGACCCACAGAGACTCACAGAGACCCACAGAGACTCACAGAGACCCACAGAGACTCACAGAGACTGACAGAGACTCACAGAGACCCACAGAGACTCACAGAGACCCACAGAGACTTACAGAGACACACAGAGACTCACAGAGACCCACAGAGACAAACAGAGACCCACAGAGACACAGAGACTCACAGAGACCCACAGAGACCCACAGAGACACAAAGAGACACACAGAGAGTCAGAGACACACAGAGACACACAGAGACCCACAGAGACCCAAAGAGACCCACAGAGACCCACAGAGACCCACAGAGACTCACAGAGACACACAGAAACTCACAGAGACCCACAGAGACCCAAAGAGACACACAGAAACTCACAGAGACCCACAGAGACCCACAGAGACTCACAGAGACCCACAGAGACTCACAGAGACACACAGAGACAAACAGAGACTCACAGAGACACGCAGAGACTCACAGAGACCCACAGAGACACACAGAGACACACAGAGACCCACAGAGACACACAGAGACCCACAGAGACACAAAGAGACACTCAGAGAGTCAGAGACACACAGAGACACACAGAGACCCAAAGAGACCCACAGAGACCACAGAGATCCACAGAGACACACAGAGACTCACAGAGACCGACAGCGACTCACAGAGATCCACAGAAACTCACAGAGACCCACAGAGACCCACAGAGACCCACAGAGACCCACAGAGACCCAAAGAGACCCACAGAGACCCACAGAGACACACAGAGAGTCAGAAACCCGCAGAGACCCACAGAGACCCACAGAGACACACAGAGACCCACAGAGACCCACAGAGACTCACAGAGACTCACAGAGACCACAGAGACCCACAGAGACTCACAGAGACCGACAGAGACACACCGATCCTCAAAAAGACACAAAGAGACTCACAGATACAGAGACTCACAGAGACACACAGAGACCCACAGATACACACAGAGACACACAGAGACCCACAGAGACACACAGAGACACACAGAGACTCAAAGAGACACACAGAGATTCACAGAGACACACAGAGACCCACAGTGATGTGTGTGTGATTGTGAGTGTGTCTGTGTGTGTGTGTGTGTCTGGAAGTGTGTGTGTGTGAGTGTGGGTGTGTGGGTGTGTGTGTGAGTGTGTGTGAGTGTGTGTGAGTGTGTGTGTCTGTGTGTGTGTGAGTGTGTGTGTAGGGGTGTGGCTGTGTGTCTGTGTGTGTGAGTGTGTGTGTAGGGGTGTGTCTGTGTGTGTGTGTGAGTGTGTGTGTGTCTGTGTGTGTGTCAACACTCACGTGGTTCTAGGCGCAGGCTCTGGCGGGATGGGTAGAGCCTTGGAACTGTGGGGAGGACGGAGAACAGCGGTGAGACGTAGAGCATAGTGTAGTGTGTAGTGTATAGTGTAGTGTAGTAGTGTATAGTGTAGTAGTGTGTAGTGTAGTAGTGTATAGTGTAGTAGTGTATAGTGTAGTAGTGTATAGTGTAGTAGTGTATAGTGTAGTAGTGTAAAGTGTAGTAGTGTATAGTGTAGTAGTGTATAGTGTAGTGTATAGTGTAGTAGTGTATAGTGTAGTAGTGTATAGTGTAGTAGTGTATAGTGTAGTAATGTATAGTGTAGTAGTGTATAGTGTAGTAGTGTATAGTGTAGTAGTGTATAGTGTAGTAGTGTATAGTGTAGTAGTGTATAGTGTAGTAGTATATAGTGTAGTAGTGTATAGTGTAGTAGTGTGTAGTGTAGTAGTGTGTAGTGTATAGTGTAGTAGTGTGTAGTGTATAGTGTAGTGTAGTAGTGTATAGTGTAGTATTGTATAGTGTAGTAGTGTAGTGTATAGTGTAGTAGTGTATAGTGTAGTAGTGTATAGTGTAGTAGTGTATAGTGTAGTAGTGTATAGTGTAGTAATGTATAGTGTAGTAGTGTATAGTGTAGTAGTGTAGTGTAGTAGTGTATAGTGTAGTGTAGTAGTGTAGTGTAGTAGTGTATAGTGTAGTGTATAGTGTAGTAGTGTATAGTGTAGTGTAGTAGTGTATAGTGTAGTATTGTATAGTGTAGTAGTGTAGTGTATAGTGTAGTAGTGTATAGTGTAGTAGTGTATAGTGTAGTAGTGTATAGTGTAGTAATGTATAGTGTAGTAGTGTATAGTGTAGTAGTGTAGTGTAGTAGTGTATAGTGTAGTGTAGTAGTGTAGTGTAGTAGTGTATAGTGTAGTGTATAGTGTAGTAGTGTATAGTGTAGTGTAGTAGTGTATAGTGTAGTAGTGTATAGTGTAGTGTAGTAGTATATAGTGCAGTGTAGTAGTGTCTAGTGTAGTGTATAGTGTAGTAGTGTATAGTGTAGTAGTGTATAGTGTAGTAGTGTATATTGTAGTAGTGTATAGTGTAGTGTATAGTGTAGTAGTGTAGTGGTGTATAGTGTAGTAGTGTATAGTGTAGTAGTGTATAGTGTAGTAGTGTAGTGTAGTAGTGTATAGTGTAGTAGTGTATAGTGTAGTAGTGTAGTGTATAGTGTAGTAGTGTATAGTGTAGTGTATAGTGTAGTAGTGTATAGTGTAGTAGTGTATATTGTAGTAGTGTATAGTGTAGTGTATAGTGTAGTAGTGTATAGTGTAGTGTAGTAGTGTATAGTGTAGTGTATAGTGTAGTAATGTATAGTGTAGTAGTGTATAGTGTAGTAGTGTATAGTGTAGTAGTGTATAGTGTAGTAGTGTATAGTGTAGTGTAGTAGTGTATAGTGTAGTAGTGTATAGTGTAGTGTAGTAGTATATAGTGCAGTGTAGTAGTGTCTAATGTCGTGTATAGTGTAGTAGTGTATAGTGTAGTAGTGTATAGTGTAGTAGTGTATATTGTAGTAGTGTATAGTGTAGTGTATAGTGTAGTAGTGTATAGTGTAGTGGTGTATAGTGTAGTAGTGTATAGTGTAGTAGTGTATAGTGTAGTAGTGTAGTACTGTATAGTGTAGTAGTGTATAGTGTAGTAGTGTATAGTGTAGTAGTGTAGTGTATAGTGTAGTAGTGTATAGTGTAGTGTATAGTGTAGTAGTGTATAGTGTAGTGTAGTAGTGTGTAGTGTAGTAGTGTAGTGTGGTAGTGTATAGTGTAGTAGTGTATAGTGTAGTAGTGTATAGTGTAGTGTACTAGTGTGTAGTGTAGTAGTGTATAGTGTAGTGTAGTAGTGTATAGTGTAGTAGTGTATAGTGTAGTAGTGTATAGTGTAGTAGTGTATAGTGTAGTGTAGTAGGGTATAGTGTAGTAGTGTAGTAGTGTAGTGTAGTAGTGTATAGTGTAGTGTAGTAGTGTATAGTGTAGTGTATAGTGTAGTAGTGTAGTGTAGTAGTGTATAGTGTAGTAGTGTATAGTGTAGTAGTGTATAGTGTAGTAGTGTATAGTGTAGTAGTGTATAGTGTAGTAGTGTATAGTGTAGTAGTGTATAGTGTAGTAGTGTACAGCGTAGTGTAGTAGTGTATAGTGTAGTGTAGTAGTGTATAGTGTAGTGTAGTAGCGTATAGTGTAGTAGTGTATAGTGTAGTATTGTATAGTGTAGTGTAGTAGTATATAGTGTAGTGTAGTATAGTGTAGTGTATAGTGTAGTGTAGTAGTGTATAGTGTAGTAGTGTATAGTGTAGTGTAGTAGTGTATAGTGTAGTAGTGTAGTGTAGTAGTGTATAGTGTATTAGTGTATAGTGTAGTAGTGTACAGTGTAGTGTAGTAGTGTATAGTGTAGTGTAGTAGTGTAGTGTATAGTGTAGTAGTGTAAAGTGTAGTAGTGTATAGTGTAGTAGTGTATAGTGTAGTAGTGTATAGTGTAGTAATGTATAGTGTAGTAGTGTACAGTGTAGTAGTGTAGTGTAGTAGTGTATAGTGTAGTGTAGTAGTGTAGTGTAGTAGTGTATAGTGTAGTGTATAGTGTAGTAGTGTATAGTGTAGTAGTGTATAGTGTAGTGTAGTAGTGTATAGTGTAGTAGTGTATAGTGTAGTGTAGTAGTATATAGTGCAGTGTAGTAGTGTCTAGTGTAGTGTATAGTGTAGTAGTGTATAGTGTAGTAGTGTATAGTGTAGTAGTGTAGTGTAGTAGTGTATAGTGTAGTAGTGTATAGTGTAGTAGTAGTGTAGTGTATAGTGTAGTAGTGTATAGTGTAGTGTATAGTGTAGTAGTGTATAGTGTAGTAGTGTATATTGTAGTAGTGTATAGTGTAGTGTATAGTGTAGTAGTGTATAGTGTAGTGTAGTAGTGTATAGTGTAGTGTATAGTGTAGTAATGTATAGTGTAGTAGTGTATAGTGTAGTAGTGTATAGTGTAGTAGTGTATAGTGTAGTAGTGTATAGTGTAGTGTAGTAGTGTATAGTGTAGTAGTGTATAGTGTAGTGTAGTAGTATATAGTGCAGTGTAGTAGTGTCTAATGTCGTGTATAGTGTAGTAGTGTATAGTGTAGTAGTGTATAGTGTAGTAGTGTATATTGTAGTAGTGTATAGTGTAGTGTATAGTGTAGTAGTGTATAGTGTAGTGGTGTATAGTGTAGTAGTGTATAGTGTAGTAGTGTATAGTGTAGTAGTGTAGTACTGTATAGTGTAGTAGTGTATAGTGTAGTAGTGTATAGTGTAGTAGTGTAGTGTATAGTGTAGTAGTGTATAGTGTAGTGTATAGTGTAGTAGTGTATAGTGTAGTGTAGTAGTGTGTAGTGTAGTAGTGTAGTGTGGTAGTGTATAGTGTAGTAGTGTATAGTGTAGTAGTGTATAGTGTAGTGTACTAGTGTGTAGTGTAGTAGTGTATAGTGTAGTGTAGTAGTGTATAGTGTAGTAGTGTATAGTGTAGTAGTGTATAGTGTAGTAGTGTATAGTGTAGTGTAGTAGGGTATAGTGTAGTAGTGTAGTGTAGTAGTGTATAGTGTAGTGTAGTAGTGTATAGTGTAGTGTATAGTGTAGTAGTGTAGTGTAGTAGTGTATAGTGTAGTAGTGTAGTAGTGTATAGTGTAGTAGTGTATAGTGCAGTAGTGTATAGTGTAGTAGTGTATAGTGTAGTAGTGTATAGTGTAGTAGTGTACAGCGTAGTGTAGTAGTGTATAGTGTAGTGTAGTAGTGTATAGTGTAGTGTAATAGCGTATAGTGTAGTAGTGTATAGTGTAGTATTGTATAGTGTAGTGTAGTAGTATATAGTGTAGTGTAGTAGTGTATAGTGTAGTGTATAGTGTAGTGTAGTAGTGTATAGTGTAGTAGTGTATAGTGTAGTGTAGTAGTGTATAGTGTAGTAGTGTACAGTGTAGTGTAGTAGTGTATAGTGTAGTGTAGTAGTGTAGTGTATAGTGTAGTAGTGTATAGTGTAGTAGTGTATAGTGTAGTAGTGTATAGTGTAGTAGTGTATAGTGTAGTAGTGTATAGTGTAGTAGTGTATAGTGTAGTAATGTATAGTGTAGTAGTGTATAGTGTAGTAGTGTAGTGTAGTAGTGTATAGTGTAGTGTAGTAGTGTAGTGTAGTAGTGTATAGTGTAGTGTATAGTGTAGTAGTGTATAGTGTAGTAGTGTATAGTGTAGTGTAGTAGTGTATAGTGTAGTAGTGTATAGTGTAGTGTAGTAGTATATAGTGCAGTGTAGTAGTGTCTAGTGTAGTGTATAGTGTAGTAGTGTATAGTGTAGTAGTGTATAGTGTAGTAGTGTATATTGTAGTAGTGTATAGTGTAGTGTATAGTGTAGTAGTGTATAGTGTAGTGGTGTATAGTGTAGTAGTGTATAGTGTAGTAGTGTATAGTGTAGTAGTGTATAGTGTAGTAGTGTATAGTGTAGTAGTGTATAGTGTAGTAGTGTATAGTGTAGTAGTGTAGTGTATAGTGTAGTGTATAGTGTAGTAGTGTATATTGTAGTAGTGTATAGTGTAGTGTATAGTGTAGTAGTGTATAGTGTAGTAGTGTATAGTGTAGTAGTGTAGTGTATAGTGTAGTAGTGTATAGTGTAGTGTAGTAGTGTATAGTGTAGTGTATAGTGTAGTAATGTATAGTGTAGTAGTGTATAGTGTAGTAGTGTATAGTGTAGTAGTGTATAGTGTAGTAGTG